ATTGATAAGCCCTGTATATTACTCATTGTTTTACCGTAAGCAAAGATCTAAGCAGTGAATTGTGACGCTTACCATGCATCTACCGTATCCAGTGGGCACTTCTGTAAATCAGAAAGATGCGTTTCGTGGAGCTGAGTCGAACGCTGCCCTTTTGAGCATTCGTCTACTTCAAACTCTGGCATATGACGTGAATTCCAGTGAAGTGCGGTGGAATACCATGCCTTTTTTTATGATTTTATGCGTTATTGTAAGTGGCGTCGATTTGTTGATGACATATGCAGACATATATGCATAAATGATGATACTGTTTTGTTTGTAGAGCTGTCTGAAGACTCCAGTAATAAAAAGTACGAATAGGAAAGGATGTCCGATCTGTGACTTTTTTAGAATTCTTTGATCTAACATAAGATAGCACAGCATTTCTCTAAGTGCTTCTTTGCTAAGCTAGTCTTCTAAATAAACTTTCAGAATGCGACTGATTGCCTTCTTAGCTCTGATCGCATTAGCGACATGCAAAAGAAAGTTTTATTACAAGAGCTGGAGGGCCGATCAGCAACAGTTTTCGCAAACATTCCGAAACTTGCGCTCTTCTCCCGAATTCAAAAAAATCATAAAAAGCAGGAGTATGACTCTCGCTGAGCAGAAAGAGGCTATTCGCCGATTAGCCTCCAAAAACGGTGTCTTGGTACGAGCTCGCATCAACCAAGTGATTCACTTGCAGAGACAGATTTAGGTTGAAATGGAGGATTACATTGAAGCATCAGATGCTAGGCTAAAGGAGATGAAAGCAGAGGCAAAGAGAATTTCCGCAAAACTGCCAAAAGCATTGGAAGAATTTTGGAAGATCTTAGAAGATCCATATAGGACTGGAGTGGAGAAGTACTATGATCTACAGAGAGTCAAAATTCACGATCCTGCTGTGAGTTACAAAGATATCTACGCGTTCCCTGTGATTCGGGACAGTTTACAGGTTTTCGAAGTCGTGAATTTTATGGTCGATCATAAAAAGCAGTGCTGGCAGAGAATAAAAATTAGAGGAAGATATGATAGTACCGAGGCAAAGAGTATAATCTATCCGCTTTT